AGCCATAAAAAAATTAGCATTAATTTGACAAGAAAAATACTGCATTTGTTAGCTTAAATGGAATGTTCTGCAAATAAAATCACAATTTATGGGATTTTTTTGGTAAAATATTGAGTTTGGTTATTATGAAAGTAAGTCAGGGGCTGCAAACTTATAATACTTAGAAAAAAAGGTTCAATACAGCTTTAAACTAATCCATAAGAAGTTAATGTGGATTAAAAATGAAGAGTTTAGATACACGAGGAACTAATGCTACTTGGATTAGCGTTTCTTGGGGGAGCCGACTAGAAACCGAGCTTCTTTGACATTTGCTCACCCTTTTTTCCCCTAAAGACTACGCAAGGCAAACAAGCACTTTTTAAACATTAAAACAATTGTAGTCATTAGCCGTCATCAACTAGCTCTTTCTATACGTGCAAAGATCAGATGACCTCAACTTTACATTCATTCAAAATTCTCAAGCTATAGCCGACTATTTACTTAAATAATTTAAACGACGATGTGAACAGGGTGTGTGTATTTAACTCGAGAACTCATGAAAATGCGCTTGAATGACTTTATGAAGCTTTGGATAAATGGAAAGATTCATTCTTGGGGTTAATGAAAATTAAGGGAACCACCAAAGAGACTTACACTTATTTCAAATATTTGGATACAAAATGATTGAAAATATAGGAGAATAAGGCTCAAAAAATCCAGTTTTCAGTGTAAAATTTTTATTGAAAGGCTACCAAGGGGGAAACAACATCATGGAAAACTTTTTGATGCACAGTTGTCTTTTAATATTTTACCATTGTCAGTTGAAAATTACCCACCAAGTTTTTCACAATTTTTAAACACAAATTTGATCTTCTTGTTCAGCGTTGTCCAAACTATGTGCCGCGGCACACGGGTGTGCCCTTGCGTCATTTTTAAAAAGTTTCTACGTCAGAAAGCATTTAAAAATGACGCGAGACGTGTGTTGTGTGCGACTTTTGGCATGGTTTAACTCTCAGGGGTGCCGTTACTCAAAAAAATTTGGACAACACTGTCCTAGTCGGAGAGTTTCCCATCAAAAAAACCCCATCAAGTTGTTATCCCCTTGTGATCCTCTCTAATTTCTTTGAAGTCAGCAGCCATTCAAAAATCAAGAAAATCGTGAAAATGACAATTTTGTGAGACATCATTTATTGACGTTCCCCACATCTCATATTTTATTTCCATCGAAATGCATTAATACAATTTTAATAATGAATCATTTGCACAATTTTCTCTTTTATTCTCTCTACATTTTAATGCGCCAATTCCGCTCGAAGCACGAAAAAATAAAAGAACATTATCGCAATATCCATAATGGGTCGTTCATAAATGATGTTCTGATTTTTTTGAGTCTGTCGATATCCGACACATTTTATGCAAAGAAAAAATTTTCTATAAGAAAAAAAAATTAAAGGGATGTAATTTATAAACAATCCCCAAGCAGCGCGAAGAGAGTGAAATGAGAAAATTCATTTCTTATTTTAGTCACAAATTTCCTGCAGCATTTAAATTAATGTTGCTAAGGGAATGAATGCGAGAAAGATGAGGCGAGAATTGAAAACAAAAAAAGAAGAAGAATCGCTGAATTGAAATGCTAATTAGGTACATTACAGTAGCGTCCAAAAGTTTAGAAACAGTGTCAATTTTTTTGAATTTTATCAAATAAACATACTTAAACATAAGCAAATGAGCTCAAATTTTCACCAACTGTGTAGTTTTTGCTATATTTTAATTCAATAAAAACATTTTGTACTATAATTAAGTATTTCAAAAATAACCGTTAAAATTCAAAATGGCTGTCGTCCAAAAGTTTGGAAACGATTTTATGATAATTTTTTTTAAAGCTTTATACTAAATTAGGTATGATTTATGGCTCAAAACATAAAATTTGAACTTTATTCTTTGTTTTAACACAAAAAAGTATGCTCAAATCGGTTCCTTTCATGCTTTATTTTTGATTTCAAAATGGCTGACATTTTTATATGATATTAACCAAAATTAATACTTTAAGCAAACTTTTTTCTTAAGTTTAAATGCTTATTACATAGTTTTTTACAATATCTTTCAGAAAATATATAGTTTATTATGTTTTGTTAAGTTTAGAAGTCGAAATTTAAAAAAAAATCTTTTTTGGAGAGAAAAATTCGCTGCTTAGAAAAGTTCGAGATAATTTAATTCATTAAATACCAACAAACTATTCGATATTTTGGTACCAATAAACTATGTAATAAGCATTTAAACTTAAGAAAAAAGTTTGCTTAAAGTATTAATTTTGGTTAATATCATATAAAAATGTCAGCCATTTTGAAATCAAAAATAAAGCATGAAAGGAACCGATTTGAGCATACTTTTTTGTGTTAAAACAAAGAATAAAGTTCAAATTTTATGTTTTGAGCCATAAATCATACCTAATTTAGTATAAAGCTTTAAAAAAAATTATCATAAAATCGTTTCCAAACTTTTGGACGACAGCCATTTTGAATTTTAACGGTTATTTTTGAAATACTTAATTATAGTACAAAATGTTTTTATTGAATTAAAATATAGCAAAAACTACACAGTTGGTGAAAATTTGAGCTCATTTGCTTATGTTTAAGTATGTTTATTTGATAAAATTCAAAAAAATTGACACTGTTTCTAAACTTTTGGACGCTACTGTATATACCTAATTTGAAAATTCAGAACGGAAATTCATCGGCATTTTAACTTAAAAATTATTTTTGACTCAATTCTTTTCTTCTTTTAGTTCTTGTTGCCGCATGTCGTGGCACATTAGGAACTTTTCTTTTGGATAAACGTCAGTGGTACATGATGAGATTTTGTGTGACAATAAGTATGAGTTGATTTGATTCGTGAGCTATAGAAGCGCATTATTTCGTGCTGATCTTCAGTCAGGTGTGATTGAGTAATTAAGCACAACTTTAAAGTCTACCTAGCCCACATCCCACACCACTAATCGCATTACTAATGCTAATTAAACATCCAATTAGAAAAACATAACCTCAAACATTTGCTCATAAACACAGCTTATTTTCAGATTAATTGACGGTAAAATTTTGTTAATCCATTCGTATAAAGTGAATCCAAAGCTGTCGTAAATTAATCTTACAAATATTTTCACAAATGTTACTTCTGAGATATAAATCTTATTATTTGCTTCAAAAAGTCTGCTAATGTCGGTAGATTTATCAAAATTTCAGCATTAAAAGTCTCGTAAAGTTGCTTGCAAAAGCATTTACGCAGTTCAGTGAATAGCTTTAGGGGCAATTTTGAAGCTTCTTGAAATTTTGGTAAAACAAGAATTTTTATTATCTTTGCTGTCGCTGACGCATGCTGGTATTTAGTGGAAGAATAAGACTTAAATGTTTTTGGTTGGTGATTAAAGTTGCAAAGCTGTTTAAACTTATGTTTTTTTTTGAAATTTTGGTTTGCTTGATGCTAAAAGTTCGCTTCAAATGATGCCGAATGTTTGCTTCAATTGATGCTGAATGTTTGCTTCAATTGATGCTGAATGTTTGCTTCAATTGATGCTGAATGTTTACTTCAATTGATGCTGAAAGTTTGCTTCAATTCATGCTGAAAGTTCGCTTCAATTTATGCTGAAAGTTCGCTTCAATTCATGCTGAAAGTTCGCTTCAATTTATACTGAAAGTTCGCTTTAATTGATGCTAAATGTTTGCTTCAACTGATCCAAAACTTTTGCTTCAATTGATGCGTAATGTTCGCTTCAAATGATGCTGAATTTTTACTTCAATTGATGCTGAAAGTTTGCTTCAATTCATGCTGAAAGTTCGCTTAAATTGATGCTAAATGTTTGCTTCAACTGATGCTAAACTTTCGCTCCAATTGATGCTAAACATTCACTTCAATTGATGCTGATTGTTTGCTTCAACTGATGCTACTTTCGCTTCAATTGATGCTAAATGTTCGCGTCAATTAATGCTGATTGTTTGCTTCAACTGATGCTTGTAAACTTTCGCTTCAATTAATGCTTAACATTCACTTCAATGGGTGCTGATTGTTTGCTTCAACTGATGCTACTTTCGCTTCAATTGATGCTAAACGTTCGCTTCAATTGATGCAAAAAGTCCAAAAATTTTTAATAAAATTCTTTAATGAAACTTGAGTCGTCTTCAAAGATTCTCAAAAAAAATATTATTGAAAAATATCCAGCATAAAGCTCAACGCTACGGTTTGTTATCAAAATTTCTCGCATCACTTCCTCCATCAACTCACTTTTTCATTGAATCTTCATGCAATTTAAAATTACTGCTTCAGCAAACAGAGAATCTTAATGAAGTAAAAACAAAAATTAATTCACCACGAAAGTTTTGACAGTCTTGTTAAGATCTTGTTACCACACCCAGCCGACCAAAACGAGCAGCACACAAAAAAATAACAAATAAAATAATTCAATGCGTTAAAATACAAAATGGATAAATATTAATAATTTGTGAATTAATATTCAGAATAGAAGATATTCATTAACACTATAACGAACAATGATGATGGAGAATGGAGAGAATGAAATATATACAGCACCGCGTATATTAATCAGACTCGCAGTCCCGCTCGTAAAAAAAATTTATTTACTTATTTGTCAGCAAGAAAAAAATAAAGAATAACAGACGAGAGAAATAACAAAACAACAAGAAATGAGCTCCGAGTGATACACGTTTTGATGTTGTCAAGTGATTATTATTATTATTATTTGAATGCTTGAATACTAGACAGTGTCAAAGTGACTTTATTTCATCTTTGTACTCAACTCTGCCCAAGATAAACATCCCATAATATCACTTCTGCAGCATTTTGAACTGCAAAAGACATTAACATTGACATTGAATTTTTTTGGCGCCAAAAACTATTCATACATCACTCGGGGATGTGTGTATATATCTCAGTCAGAAGCATGAAGAAGTATCTCCAAGTAATCAAACATTTTTTTTTTTTGCTCGAGTGTGAAAGGCGTATCATCTCACCATAAAAAGCTCTTTTATTGCTCCCACGATGACATCATCCGGTGCTAGATAGAAATTTGGTAATCCAAATAAAATATATTTTTTGTTCCTTGCTATTTTTATTGTTGTGTATAATCCAAAATGAGAGAAAGGAAAGACAATTAAAGAAATGTATCTTAATTGCGTCACTAAGTCCACAAGATTAATGCTATTTGATGTATGTAATCCGTGTAATTCTGATTCAAGGATGCTTTTAAGTAAATTACTATACTTTTTTTTTGTTCCTTTTCTTAGCTTAAATGAACTTTTTTTTGCTACGTTTAATTTCCTTTATAATTAACGTCTTTTCATGCTCTCCTTTTTACTTTTTCTTTCGCTTCTTTTTTTGCAATAGCTTAGCACTTGTTAACAATTAATATACTGTATTAATGTACATCTATGTTCGGTCAATGAGATGTTTTTGCTTTCAAGTTTAGTACAATGACTTTTCTTCGTGTGAGGTTATTCATGGAATTGCAGCAATTGACTGTGGTGGATATAAGAAAGTGGAATAATGAGTCGTGAAACATATGCAGGCTATTCTGGTTAAAATTAAGTAGTGCAGCTTTATTATTACTATTCAATGAAATTCTCATTTCTCAGGAGCTTCCAGAGATAGGATTGAACCAATCCCGAATGGCGCAAGTTAATTAATCGATCAGAAATCGGGCACTAAGTTGATGTAACTCTGGCATCGTACTGGCACCAAAAGGATGTGACTCTGGCATGGTACTGGATTTAAATCGATGTCAGCAGCATGTCAGAGGCATTTTAGCTGTCCACAAGATTTTTATTCGATTAACCGACTTGTGCCATTCGGGAATGGGTAGAAACCTTTTAAAAATCATTAAATTTAGTGCCCGAGCTCTAGGAACGTTGAATCTAGTGTTGCAATTATTAAATATCAAAGAACAACTTTAGAGTTGCTTCTAACTGTAGTAAAACATTCAATTTAATTCCAAATTTAATTACTCGTGAATCATTGCAGCAGTAAAAAGTGTCTTATCAATTTCACAATACCAAAATGACATAAATCATGTAAATGAAATGTACTGCAAAGTTCTTGGTTGAATGGTTACAAATTTAATTCAGCAAATCTCACTAGTTCCCTTAGAACTTCAAGGCGCAAGGCTCACAAGATCTTAAACTTTCAAGCATTAGCTGCGCTGCATTAGAAAACAATTCACTAAATTTATTTCAAGCTATTTTAAAACTATTGCATGACCTAATTCTGTCATAAACTATAAACTACAAACTAATTCGTTCCAGAAAATTTAGCGACACATTTTGTTAATCCATTAGTAATCGTAGCTGTATTCCACCTTCAAATCCACCTGCAACTTGTAACTTCTATGGAGGAAAACTTTTCACACTAAAAGAAAATTCCCCAACAAAGACTAGTCATACAGAACTAAGCAGGAAAAACTTTTTCTTCTCACTTGGCCGGTCATAGATACAGATTTATACATACGTATTATAAACTTATCCAATCATTAGCAATGCACACAACAAACTACAAATGTTCACATGCGACGTTCATAAGAGAAATCTGAAACCCGTTCTTTTTCAACTCTAACCGTGCCGATTGTTTTCTCGCTTCTTTTTTTTACGTTTTTAATGTTCATACGAATGTTAGTCAGACTGTATGTATATATTGTTGCTATTTTTTTGTTCACATATATTAAGTTCTGCTTGTTGAGCTCATTCTCTTGATATCAAATGCATATACATGTATGTTAGGTACAGAGAAGAAATGAAAAGAACTCAACACAGTTGATGGCACTTAAACACGTATCAAAATAACTTCTTTTTCACCTTATCAATTGGATATACTCCGTACACGAGCCACAATATATATATTTTTTTGTTTACATTGTTCATTACTCAACACATCTATTAATATATTTTTTGTCAAGTGATGGAACCATAAATTATCTTCATTTACTTAACACTTGTTTGTCCATAGGTGTCAAATAGATTTGAATTTTAGACAACATTTGGATATGCGTCTTGCTAGTTTGAAATCGAAAACACTACTAAAGTGGAAATAAAAAAAGATTTTTCATTTGTTGTGTTGCAATGTGTATTGGGACTTGAGTGTAGGTGAGAAGAAGAGAAGATAAAATGACTGGAAATGCTTTGTTGGAAGTCAATTTCGAAGATTTTGTGCAGCATGAGATTTATGTTTTGATGGAATTTGGATTAGATTGCTTGAAAATATTCAAAAATTAATGCAGATATGCTTTAAATTAAGGATTAATCCATAAAAAGTCAATTAATCTACAAATCATCGTGAATTTCCGTTACAAAAGATTTCTAATGAAAATCTGTTAAAAAATAATTCAAATTCCAATGTCGAAAATTCGAATAAACAAAAATAACATTCAGTTTTACCGAGTCCAACATCACAGTGCATCGTAATAATAATCAACTGATAATTAAAAGTATTTTAGACAGCTAGCGATCAATAAAATCATTCAGTGATATCTCATAGTACAAGTGTAGTGCAATAAAGTATAAAAAGAGTGAAAATGGATACGAAAAAGGTTGAAATAAAGAATATTGAAGAGTTGTTGCGACGAGATAAATATATTGAACCGTATGAAACAGAGATAAGACGCAGGTTTGTGCTCAGAATCAAGTTTTAATTAAAATTCAGCTCACAGACATTCGTGTAATATCAAATTACTCGAGAATTTCTTTACATTTTCAAAATTAAAAAGAGTTCAAAAGTTTTCAAAGTCATGCGAAGGTCGACTCAAATCATCTACTGAATGATGAATGGAAAGAAAAATATTATATTTAGCCGGTCTGGAGGAACGTGAATTTATCTATTTACGCACTTATATCTCCACAAGTCATGACATTGCATCGATAAGTTTAGAATAAAAATATTCTTTTAAACAATTTGCATCACTTTCTAGAAGCTTCCACAAATTCGCAATGATTAATAGCCAGACTACGAATATTATAAATTGGCTAGATAATCTCATCAATTTTGAAATGTTTTCATGAATATTTAACACCTTCTTGACAGTTTTCTATGAATATTTTGCCGATGCTTTTTGACATGAGAATTTCTCAGTGTTCGCACAGTCGATATAAATGGCATACATTCAGTTGTCACGTGAATTTTAATGATTACTTAATTCTGTCGGAATTTATGTGCTACAGATGATGATGCTGTGCAAAAAGAATATGTTGAAAATCAGATCTTAGGAATTTATGAGCACAATTAAGAGTTTTTAAAAAGCTATGAAAGTCGAGACGTTATTAAATGCACTTTTAAGCTTCTTGTGCTTTCGAGAGTTCCACATAATGCTTTTGAAGATTGATAATCTCAAAATATTACGAATGCTGTGTAATTTCTAGTTTAGCGTTAGCCAAAACATTTGTAATCAGTCAAGGGTCAGGCACTCCAAAGTATTGTACGGTATTGTACAATACTTACAATACTTACAATACTTGCCATATAAATATTGTAAGTATTGTACAATTCTTACAATACTTTTCATATAAATTTACAATACTTTACAATACTGAAATTTAATTATTCAAGAACCAAATTTTTAAAAGAAATTAAATATTTTTTGAGTTTTCAACAATTTGTAAAACCAAATTTAATACTTTTTTTTGACAAATATTGATAAATAACAATTTTTTTTGATAAATTAACATTATTATTGAAAATTAGCAGGGTATTTTATGAAAAACTAGCACAAATTTCAGTTTTCCATTAAAAGAGAGTATTTCTGATTATGTAATGGCTATAAAAATGGTAAAAAGTTCAAAATTCTTTTGTAAAGCTAGACTGATGCAAATCAAGAATTGATTTCATACAATTCTCATGCATAAAACCGTACAGGTACGAAGTTTATTATGTAAACTAATATTAAATGTCAATAAGGAAATAATATATTAATAATAATAATAATAATAATCAAAATTAAATAGATTGGTTTCATTTTCACAAGATTTATCACCCTTTATAGCAAACTGCATTACCTTTTATACAAATTTTTTGATCAAAGTATAAGATTTTAAGTGTATTTAAACATTACTTTGTCGATTTGAATTTTTTTACCTCTGACATGAAATTTAACAAACTTATCAAATGGTTTTTATAGCTTTTTTTTTGAAAATACATATTTTCAACAACTGCATCTCTAAGACAATATTTAATTTTTAATTTTATTTTAATTTTCTTCTTTCTTTGTCAAAATTATTCTTATTTTTTTTAGTTCTCCTAGTTGATACTAGACTTTCACGATTTCCTGTTCCCGAAATTTTTGGGACAGAAACCCGATGAATAACAATAGTTATCCAAAAAATTTTAATGTCAAATTATCTCAATTGAAAAGTTTCATCATTTAAACACAAAAAAATCTTCCAAATTTCCAGGAGCATGTTTGATATTTGAGTTTAAATTTTTGTCCAGTTCCCGATAATTTTTTGGGTCCGGGAAATCGTGAATGCCTAGTTAATACAAAAATATATATCATTTCAGGAAAATTCACTGAAAATTTCTAATGAAAAATGTCCTTACTAAAAGCAAAGTAAACTTTAAAGAAACAAACTTAAATCGAGGCATAGCAATGTTATGATATGACTTAAAGCGCTTTAAAAAAACTAAACCTCGGTGTTACCTCTATAAAATTGAAGCAAACGTTAAAGTTCCTCTATTATGAGGAGACTAATGTCTAATATTCTCATCTTATCTATGTTTTCGTTAATAATGTTTGATATTTTTGGCTGCATCTGGCGTTATATCGCCTTTGTATCGAGCCAGAATACTTTTTTGCTATTGACAATTTTGATAAATGACTTTATTACCAAAAATTTTGTATACAAATATTTTTAGACTGAATATTTTTGGAGAACTATAAAATTTCAATTAAAACTTAAAAATATCTAGTTCAAAATTGCGAATTATGTATTTTAATCAAATTTTGGTTCAAAAAATGTAAAGAAACACGAGAAACTACATAAAAAGCGTCAATTATAATCAAATTCATTTGAAAATTTTTCTCAAACTGTCTTGTAAAAACTACAATACTTACAATACTTTTCATACAAGTGTCATACAAGTATTGTAAGTATTGTAGGTATTGTACAATACATTACAATACTTTTGGAGTGTCTGACCCTTGTAATCAGTTGTAAAGTTTACTCTTTCATCTGTGTTGCTTACAGCATCCGAAAAACGTGCTTGGTATGATAGTGGGAGTAATTATAAGCTACTCTACCAATCTCAAACAAAAGGTTGTTAATTTGCCAAGAATTTGCGTAAAAAACTACAACAGGTGGCTTCCGATTGAAAACAAGGAAAAGATCGAAGTTATTTAAAAACAAAGAGCAGCTAGAAAAATAACCTTGAAATGATAGAAAATAGAAAACAGCATCGCTACATTGTCGATAAAAAAGTTCTGATTTAAAGACGCTTGTGCATAAATGTTGTAATATTTGGGTTGTATTACTTGGAACCATAATAATAATAGTCCTTTATTCAATGCATAATATAAGGCGGAACAGAAATTAAATATTTTTGATGTTAACCTTTGTCGGTTTTAAATCAATCGCTTATGTGAGGGTGTTTAAACTTGGAACCAACAACCATGATTAATTAAGCGAACTCTAAGCTAAAACATTGCTGTTCCTATGCATGTCCCCAGAATATACCTTTACATGAAGAAAATAAGCCCAAATCAGTTACATCAATCATCAATTGGTCGAATCCCAATTGAATAATTTTACATCCAATTAAGGTCGTCAAAAAAATCACATCAAATTTCCCCAAATCACCTTTAACATTTCAATGTTTACATTACAAAATTACCAATCCGGATGTGCTTCTTGTTATTCACAAGTCGTACTCGAAACTTATTTTCTCTTACATTATTTTGATAAAGCTTCTTGCTCTTCATTTATGGGTAATTCCATGAGTAATGAGAACTGTGAAAAAGCACTTTACAATATTTCTCTACTTGTAAAAATTCAAATTTCCCAAAACCGTTAAAATTTCTCAACGTTTTGTTGTTTATACAAGTGAATTAGCAGCAATATCATCAAAGAGAGATGGTTCAAATATATATGATCTTTAATGTTCTGAAACTTTAGTTACTTGCTCAATTAAATCAAATAAATCTAATAAACTTACAAGTAAAATCAAGAAAATCTAACGGTATTGTGAATTTGAAATTTTTTTCAGTGTTCTGTTTTGCAATAATCGGTCAAAAATTGACCGATTAATGCTAGTTTTTTTGGTTTTTCTTCTTAATTACAGCATTAAAGAATGCAAATTATACATAAAACAAAAGCCTGGCTAATATGTAATATGTTAAAAGTAACTTTGGAACATAGAAGTGTGTATTTAAGTAAATATTAGGAAATGTTTAGAAAACGATTTTTCTAAAACTTGACCGATTAATTTTACTTTTATTAAAAAAACAGAAATTAGACATATTTTTGATGTGAAATTCTCACATATGGAGATAAATATTGTGTTAATAAACATAATAAAGTTACAATTTGGAGTACAAACTTCTTAGTTAAGGAAATATTTTTGAAAAATTGGTGCATTAAAATTTTTTTCACTCATGGAATTACCCTTATGCTGTATCATTATTTGCTTTCAATTTAATATATTCATAAAGACCCTTCGAAGAAGTTCACTAAACGTTCCTTAATATGAACTAATGAAGTTCCACTCGTATTCTATTTGTTTGTATACTTATTCATTACCTTATGACCTTTTACAGACGTGGATGCGTAGATCAATGGCTCAAAACGCTTGAAGAGTCAGAGGGTGGAATTGAGAATTTTACAAAGGGATATGAATATTATGGCATACATGTTAAGGATGATAACTCTGTTGTTGCAAGAGAATGGGCCCCAGGTGCCGTTGCTGTATATCTAACTGGAGAATTCAGTATGAATTTCTAATTTCATTTATAGAATAATTTAACTTAAAAGCTGAACAATATTTTTTCGACAGATAATTGGAACTGGGAGGAAAATCCATACAAAAAGTTAGAGTACGGTAAATGGGAATTGATATTACCAGCAAATGATGATGGCAGTAGTCGTATTGCACATTTGTCTGAATTAAAAGTCATCATACGTACCGAAAAGGGTACATTGGAGCCAAGAATATCACCATGGGCAACATATACAGTTCAACCGACAGATCTAGCATATGGATCAAATTATAAGCAGATTTTATGGAATCCACCACAAGCAGTGCGTTATCAGTTCCAATATAAAAGGCCAGCAATTATCCCAAAAGCATTAAGAATTTATGAATGTCATGTTGGAATTGCAACCGAGAAATTGGAAATTGGTTCATATAGAAATTTTGCTGACAATGTTATTCCACGAATTGTGCGTCAAGGATATAATACGATTCAAATTATGGCCGTAATGGAACATGCTTATTATGCTAGTTTTGGCTATCAAGTGACTAGCTTTTTTGCTGCATCATCACGTTGTGGCACGCCAGATGAACTCAAGTATCTCGTTGATGTTGCTCATAAAAACAATTTAGTAGTTTTATTGGATGTTGTTCATTCGCATGCATCAAAGAACGTTCTAGACGGACTTAATGAATTTGATGGAACAGACTCGTGTCATTTCCATTCAGGTCCCAGAGGTGTACATGCTTTGTGGGATTCAAGATTATTCAACTATAATGCTTATGAAGTTCTTCGCTTTTTGTTATCAAATCTACGTTGGTGGTATGATGAGTATGGCTTTGATGGATATAGATTCGACGGTGTTACTTCAATGGTGAGATTAATGCTCGTTCTCTAATTTTAAATTTTATTTAATCCCTTCGTTTCACAGCTTTATCATCATCATGGAATTGGAACCGCCTTTTGTGGTGGCTACGATGACTATTTCGGCATGAGTGTGGATACTGAAGCCCTCACGTATCTGGCACTTGCTAACAAAATTCTACATGACATCAACCCAAATATCATTACAATTGCAGAGGACGTGAGTGGAATGCCTACTTTATGTTGTCCATACGATGAAGGCGGTATCGGTTTTGATTATCGCCTAGGCATGGCAATACCAGATAAATGGATTCAGATCTTGAAGGAGAAACGTGATGAGGATTGGAGTATGGGTAATATCGTCCATACACTTACAAATCGACGATATAAGGAGAAGACCGTTGCCTATGCTGAATCTCATGATCAAGCACTTGTTGGCGATAAGACACTCGCGTTCTGGTTAATGGACAAGGACATGTACACAAGCATGGCAGTATATTCACCTCCTAATCTTGTTATAGATCGTGGAATCGCTTTGCATAAAATTATCAGGTAAAATAAATTGGAAATTGAGGTAATTTCCATAGATTAAAATCATCAATTTACTTGCTATCCACAGACTCATTACACACAGTCTTGGCGGTGAAGCTTACTTGAATTTTATTGGTAATGAATTTGGACATCCTGAATGGTTAGATTTTCCGAGAGTTGGGAATAATCAGTCATTCCATTATTGTAGACGACAGTGGAATCTCGTCGGTAAGTAATGCTATTAATTATTTGTTGGATGTTGAGCATGGAAGTTTTGTTCGGTATGGAATTGAATGTGGAAATGGGCTGAATCCCAGCTAGATTCTCAAACCGAAATATCCATAATCTAGAAAATGAGCAAAGCCATTAAAATTCCTTAATTGCAAATCAATTGTAGCTACAGCCATTTCCTTGTAAAACAACCTCTCATGCCCCACAGCAATTCCGATAATATCTCACTTATCACAACTGACATTTAATTTGCTTTTTACCACGTTTTTACCACGTTTTTCTTAATTCTTAACTTGCTTTCTTGTCTTTCTGTCTTTCTTTCTTTCTGTTTGTCTTGGTCAAATCTTGCAATCAATTTTTCGACCACTTCTACTGCTCCAATCGAGCTCATTTTTTTTATTCACACGTATTCCCGGTGACAATACAATATTTTAACACATTGGAACCACAAAAATGCTTAATTATAGTACAATTTTAATAAAACTTTTTTATTTGGGAGAAAAATCCAATGTCAATGATATGAAATTTTAATTTGTTTAAAATATTATACTTGTGATGCTCTAAAGTCATTTATATGATTCATTATAGTTTAATTAATATTACTAATTATTAATTATACCATAAATTTGAGCAGCTAAAGATATTCTGGTAAGACAAAAAAATTGACATGTAATTTTTTCATGAATATTCGTAAGTGAAAATTTGAATTTTCAAAAAAACCGTTAAGCTCAAGTCCGTTACGAATTTATGCAAAATAACTATTAATATGCGATGTGCATTTAGCACACATTGATTAAGCATAAATTTATGCTGTTTTAAATGTATTGCATTATTTATAACACTTCACCAACTTAATTAAATTGACTTTTCTTTTTATTAACGGCTTGACGTATTTTTGCATAACATATGAATGATATTCATTGAATTTAAATTTGAAAATCCGTTATAAATACGTTACATATAGATTTGATTTGCATCTTTATGTTAAGAATCCACACGTTATGTAGTAGTAATGGTTCGGATAAACACAAAATCTTTACGAGTGATTTTTAATGTACTTTACTAATGAATGCTTTAAAAAAATTAAATTTTATAAAACGAATGAAAAATTTTGAAAGTCGTTACTAATTTCCCATTGAAAACTGGTAATTTATAAACAGTTGAACGTAACGGAGTGAAACGAAGTGGAGTTCAACACACCTGTAACCTATAAACCCACTGTAATCTTTAAACAGTTGAACGTAACGAAGTGCAACGAAGTGAAGTTCAACACACCTGTAACCTATAAACCTACTGTAATCTATAAACAGTTGAACGTAACGAAGTGCAACGAAGTGGAGTTCAACACACCTGTAACCTATAAACCCACTGTAATCTTTAAACAGTTGAACGTAACGAAGTGCAACGAAGTGAAGTTCAACACACCTGTAACCTATAAACCTACTGTAATCTATAAACAGTTGAACGTAACGAAGTGCAACGAAGTGAAGTTCAACACACCTGTAACCTATAAACCTACTGTAATCTATAAACAGTTGAACGTAACGAAGTGCAACGAAGTGAAGTTCAACACACCTGTAACCTATAAACCTACTGTAATCTATAAACAGTTGAACGTAACGAAGTGCAACGAAGTGAAGTTCAACACACCTGTAACCTATGAACCTACTGTAATCTATAAACAGTTGAACGTAACGAAGTGCAACGAAGTGAAGTTCAACACACCTGTAACCTATAAACCTACTGTAATCTATAAACAGTTGAACGTAACGAAGTGCAACGAAGTGAAGTTCAACACACCTGTAACCTATAAACCGACTGTAATCTATAAACAGTTGAACGTAACGAAGTGCAACGAAGTGAAGTTCAACACACCTGTAACCTATAAACCTACTGTAATCTATAAACAGTTGAACGTAACGAAGTGCAACGAAGTGAAGTTCAACACACCTGTAACCTATGAACCTACTGTAATCTATAAACAGTTGAACGTAACGAAGTGCAACGAAGTGAAGTTCAACACACCTGTAACCTATAAACCTACTGTAATCTATAAACAGTTGAACGTAACGAAGTGCAACGAAGTGAAGTTCAACACACCTGTAACCTATGAACCTACTGTAATCTATAGACAGTTGAACGTAACGAAGTGCAACGAAGTGAAGTTCAACACACCTGTAACCTATAAACCTACTGTAATCTATAAACAGTTGAACGTAACGAAGTGCAACGAAGTGAAGTTCAACACACCTGTAACCTATAAACCGACTGTAATCTATAAACAGTTGAACGTAACGAAGTGCAACGAAGTGAAGTTCAACACACCTGTAACCTATAAACCTACTGTAATCTATAAACAGTTGAACGTAACGAAGTGCAACGAAGTGAAGTTCAACACACCTGTAACCTATGAACCTACTGTAATCTATAAACAGTTGAACGTAACGAAGTGCAACGAAGTGAAGTTCAACACACCTGTAACCTATAAACCTACTGTAATCTATAAACAGTTGAACGTAACGAAGTGCAACGAAGTGAAGTTCAACACACCTGTAACCTATAAACCGACTGTAATCTATAAACAGTTGAACGTAACGAAGTGCAACGAAGTGAAGTTCAACACACCTGTAACCTATAAACCTACTGTAATCTATAAACAGTTGAACGTAACGAAGTGCAACGAAGTGAAGTTCAACACACCTGTAACCTATGAACCTACTGTAATCTATAAACAGTTGAACGTAACGAAGTGCAACGAAGTGAAGTTCAACACACCTGTAACCTATAAACCTACTGTAATCTATAAACAGTTGAACGTAACGAAGTGCAACGAAGTGAAGTTCAACACACCTGTAACCTATGAACCTACTGTAATCTATAAACAGTTGAACGTAACGAAGTGCAACGAAGTGAAGTTCAACACACCTGTAACCTATAAACCTACTGTAATCTATAAACAGTTGAACGTAACGAAGTGCAACGAAGTGAAGTTCAACACACCTGTAACCTATGAACCTACTGTAATCTATAAACAGTTGAACGTAACGAAGTGCAACGAAGTGAAGTTCAACACACCTGTAACCTATAAACCTACTGTAATCTATAAACAGTTGAACGTAACGAAGTGCAACGAAGTGAAGTTCAACACACCTGTAACCTATAAACCGACTGTAATCTATAAACAGTTGAACGTAACGAAGTGCAACGAAGTGAAGTTCAACACACCTGTAACCTATGAACCTACTGTAATCTATAAACAGTTGAACGTAACGAAGTGCAACGAAGTGAAGTTCAACACACCTGTAACCTATAAACCTACTGTAATCTATAAACAGTTGAACGTAACGAAGTGCAACGAAGTGAAGTTCAACACACCTGTAACCTATAAACCTACTGTAATCTATAAACAGTTGAACGTAACGAAGTGCAACGAAGTGAAGTTCAACACACCTGTAACCTATAAACCGACTGTAATCTATAAACAGTTGAACGTAACGAAGTGCAACGAAGTGAAGTTCAACACACCTGTAACCTATAAACCTACTGTAATCTATAAACAGTTGAACTTAACGAAGTGCAACGAAGTGAAGTTCAACACACCTGTAACCTATAAACCTACTGTAATCTATAAACAGTTGAACGTAACGAAGTGCAACGAAGTGAAGTTCAACACACCTGTAACCTATGAACCTACTGTAATCTATAAACAGTTGAACGTAACGAAGTGCAACGAAGTGAAGTTCAACACACCTGTAACCTATAAACCTACTGTAATCTATAAACAGTTGAACGTAACGAAGTGCAACGAAGTGAAGTTCAACACACCTGTAACCTATAAACCGACTGTAATCTATAAACAGTTGAACGTAACGAAGTGCAACGAAGTGAAGTTCAACACACCTGTAACCTATAAACCTACTGTAATCTATAAACAGTTGAACTTAACGAAGTGCAACGAAGTGAAGTTCAACACACCTGTAACCTATAAACCTACTGTAATCTATAAACAGTTGAACGTAACGAAGTGAAACGAAGTGGAGTTCAACACACCTGTAACCTATGAACCTACTGTAATCTATAAACAGTTGAACGTAACGAAGTGAAACGAAGTGGAGTTCAACACACCTGTAACCTATGAACCTACTGTAATCTATAAACAGTTGAACGTAACGAAGTGCAACGAAGTGGAGTTCAACACACCTGTAACCTATAAACCTACTGTAATCTATAAACAGTTGAACGTAACGAAGTGAAACGAAGTGGAGTTCAACACACCTGTAACCTATGAACCTACTGTAATCTATAAACAGTTGAACGTAACGAAGTGAAACGAAGTGGAGTTCAACACACCTGTAACCTATGAACCTACTGTAATCTATAAACAGTTGAACGTAACGAAGTGCAACGAAGTGGAGTTCAACACACCTGTAACCTATAAACCCCCTATAATTTTTATTTCTCTATTGCATTAGAATAAGACTAAAAAGTAGAAAATAAAATACTTTATAAAAAAAACTTTTTAAAAAAACTACGTTTTTCGCGTAGACTAAAAAGTAGAAAATAACTTTTATTCTTGGTTGTAAAGAATTTGGTTTTAAATTTTCAGATTATATTTAATAAATTTTTATATCCTAGTCAATATTGTTCACAAAGTTTCGAATAAGTGCACTTTGATCTTATCGTATAACTCAACAACTTAAAAACGTGGGCGCATTATAAGAGGAGAAATAAGTTTTCACATAAACTTTATGATAAACTTAAATTAATGCGCCCACGTTTTTAAGTTGTTGAGTTATACGATAAGATCAAAGTGCACTTATTCGAAACTTTGTGAACAATATTGACTAGGATATAAAAATTTATTAAATATAATCTGAAAATTTAAAACCAAATTCTTTACAACCAAGAATAAAAGTTATTTTCTACTTTTTAGTCTACGCGAAAAACGTAGTTTTTTTAAAAAGTTTTTTTTATAAAGTATTTTAAATTTATTGCCTACATTAAGACGATACAACATTGCGATATAAATACCTCAATGAATTCGATCGGGCAATGAATATGACAGAAGAGAAATACGGCTGGCTTAATAGGTACGCAAAAATATTTTTATTTTAATTATTCAAGAAATTTTAAGCTTTCTTTTCGTTTCCGTTTCTTAAACATAAAAAAAAAAAATCTTTAGTAATCCAGCTTACGTGACTTGGGCACATGAAGGCGACAAGATAATCAGCTTTGAGAGATGTGGACATGTTTTCGTGTTCAACTTTCACTCGGACAGATCATTCACAGATTATCGCATCGGAGTGGAACGACCAGGAAGCTATAAAATTGTTCTAAGCTCTGATGACGAAGCTTTTGGTGGATTTAATCGGATCGATACAAGCTTAACACACGTTTCGGTGCCAGAAGGTCATGCAGGTAGAAGTCAATTTATTCATACGTATTTACCACCTCGAACTGGATTTGTATTTGTAAGACTGGGATAAAAGAAATGGTTTTAAATCATGTACTGTGGATTTGTTATATTGTAGCCATAAATGTCATGCAATAAAAAATTATTTTTGTAGTCGGAAATAAATTGACAGCCAAAAGTTCTTAATTTTTACTTTTTTTCTTTCTTTATTTAGTTTTGTTTTTACTCTTTTTATACAATTGACCACCGTCGTTCTCCTATAATATATAAAGTCCATTTTTATTCTTATGATAGGACCATTAATTACACAAATAAAATTAATAACTTTCATGCTCACTGTTACTTCAACCGAAAGGAATTGAAGTTCTGTACACACACTCACACACAAAACTTTTCATTTTATTTATATTTCATCTCTCATGAGACTGAAGGAGGATGGGTGATGAGGGAGTGGAAACTTTGGTTATTTAGTAGATGCAATATAAGGAATGAATAATGAGTGTGGTTGTCTGCAAGTGGATGGAAACTTGTTAAAGAATTCCTAATGATCAGGTTTGTATTTGAGGCACCTGAATCGACAGGTAGAAGTCAGTAGGGTGCAATTATGATGAAAAATTCGAGTTTTGTGAGATTTGGTAAGAAAAACATAGATTCGAGGCAATTCAATTTCAAACTCTTAAATTATGAACATTATTGCTGTAAAAATGCATCATCTGATCCAATAACAGGTTTCAAGGGCTTAATGTGGTTCCTTAGCATCAAGATTCCACTAATCACAGACAAATTTAATTTATAAACCAGAGTTAAGTTCATCAAATTTTGAATCTAGCATATATTGCTTTGGATAGCCCTAGAAAGCGACCCAGCACTTATCCTGGGTTAAATCAACTCAGTATTGACAGTTCTGATTTTATTCTCTATTTTTTGAAAGCTCCATGGTTTAGCTCCCAACCAAATCAGCCTCAAATTCCTTAACCTTTAAAGCATCAAATCTACACTAATAACCAACAGATTTCCACTCCCATCCAAAACCAAAAGTAATTGCTCAAATGAGAAAGAATTGTACAATTTATGAGCCATCTGCATGCTTTCAGACACAAGCTCAGCACACCAAAAATTGAAAGCTATCGTCCATCATCATAATTGCTTCAAGTCCGGATGTTATGAATTAATAATAAAAAAAAAATGATGAAAATTGTGAAGTAAAAGTTTTTATTATTTTTTTTTCTATTTCTGTGCTGATGGCTAGAAATGTACTGTGGGTAGACGTTGAGCTGATTGTGCACCCTTACTATTTTGTTCTGCTTTTTTTTTGAATTAATTACAGCGATTTATATATTTTTTATAGCATTTTTATGTAATGTGGGTAATTTTCATCATTTTTCTCTGTTTTTTCTATTGCAAAAGTATTTAAATATTTTTTTATAATATCTGTAGAATGGTATGCCAATGGGAGATGTTGACTGGGTTCATTGTTCGAGCTATACAAGCTCATCTCCTGAGTTTATTGTGATATAGATTTTCTTATAATAATTCTGCAAGCTTTTGTATTGGATGCAGAAATAAAAGTTCAAAATATACAATGATATACGGAATATGGGTCAGTTGATGAAGAATTTCTGTACATTTTATGTTCGTGGGTCGTTCACTTAGGGTTCGTTCACTTATGACTTCCAAAATTAATTTCCAGGAATTTTTATTGTTCTTTTCTTGCTGCCGCCCCCCCCCCCCCCTGGACGTCGTAAGTGAACGGCCCCTGATGAAACTTTGAGCCTAGTAAAACTTTCTTTTTTTAAAAAAATTCTAGCTTGGCTCATGACTTCCTAAAACTAGATGGAACTTTCGGTTTGTAACTTTGAATTCAAATCAATGGAATTTTTAAACCTAGTCGACTATGACTAAGCTTGTTCTAAGTTACTTGCATGTGTAGATCAATATATTGGCGAATCTACTAGTGCGAGAGTAATTCAACTGTGACTGAGTGGTTATTCAAAAGATCGAATATCGCAAACGTGGGTTCGATTCCCACCAGAATCTGGTATTTAAATCATTAGCATAGATTGTTGTCTACAGGTCAAGGATTCGCACAACAGTCATGTTTACTAGTTTAGATGCTAAAACCTGATCTTTATCTAAAGATGCTCCTGAAGTGACTCATCCCAAACCTGTTTGATAGATTTCATTGATGAACGACTCAAGATACTCGATTTTCCTCAACTCCAAACCCATCTGACTCAATAAATCAATAAATATAAAATTCCCCAACCAAAATATCATTTTCAAATTGTCATCCCAAGAGCAGCTCCCCAAGTCTAAGTCCATTGGAATACCACAAAAATGTTAACGATTAATTAGAATATTGTGTGTAGTGAAAAACTGAATAATTATTGCTACTTCTGTTGTACGCTATGAAAAAGTTTACATTCTATTCTGTGTGCATCTACATCATCCGGCCAAATGACTTCATCATAGAAAAGCATTTTTTTAAATATTTAAATGAGACAAAAAAAATCAACAATTTTTCCTTAAAATTACGAGACAAAAAAATTGATTCACTTTTTACAATAATTTAGAAATTCTTTAAAATTTAAAGATTTTTTTTTCACAAATTTTTAAATTTTTGTTTGTGGGATGTCGAGAGTGTTACTTGATTCAATGACTCATGTGTCGATGTCTATTCGATTTACTATTCACTTTTTCAACTAAATTACAAATTTTTAGTGCAGGTCCTAATTTTATGTCCATGTATTTCATCATCATCTCTGAATTGAGAAGCAGCAGTGCTTTGCCGTCGATTTCCTGGAAGATAGAAATGAGAGTTAAGTTTGATTCTTGGAACGTTTTGAATTAGCTTCATTCTGGGAAATGGTCAATTCCCAGTTTTTACGACCACCCCTCCCCAAAAAATCAAGAACAACCTCTATACTCACATGTCTCCTAAATAAATCAGCATGTACAGCTAGTGAACTGTCAGCAGTTGAGATATACTGAATAACATCCTCAATCTTCCAATCATTAATATTCCCGCTAGGAATTGTCGGACCAGGGCTTGATGCACTGCTCGATGGACAGTCTGTGCTCTTGTCAATTTCAATTTCAGAAGAACTTCGGATATCCGACGAGCGTCCACCACGCATTTCTGCTGATTGCGGTGTCTCAGGCTCAGGAAATGTCGGAAGTTCCGGTGTCACTCGTTCCTCCTTTATTTTTGTCTCTTGTACATTTGTTACAGCTGGCGATACAATCGGTTTTGACTCCTTAACATTAGATGTTGCCGATGTGGTCGTGGATGTTGTTGTTACCGTTGTTATAGGTGTATTGCTTGAAGTTGTTGCAGGCGTTGATGGTTCAGATTCATTAAATACTAATTTCTTTCTTTTAGGAATCGGTGAGTCATTTCCTTTCGACTGCCTTTTTGGTGGTGTCAAGGGCGTTGTATGTTGGTGATGATGATGATGATGATGAGATGTTGATGATGTTGTCGTTACATTTGATGATGATGTACTTGTTTCTACTTTTTCACTACATTTTTCACATTGTTCAGGCTCAAGTGATAGTGTGATTAAGTTTTTACATGAATGACATGCTGTTAACAGTGATTCGAGGAAGGTTTTCATCTCTTCATTGCCTTTCTCTTTAGTAAACATTGGAATCTTAACCGTAAAGTTTTTACTTGATGCTGTCACAATGTGCACCTCACCATCCATATTAAATAAGACGGGCGATAGCTGACTTGTGTCTCGACATGCTGATAAGATTTCTTGTATACAAAGCTTAGCTAGAGATTGATGTGATGGTCCAGTAAGGATGACTGGAAGTTTGAGAGGATTTATAAATGGTCCAGCTTTACATTGTGTATGAAAATGTGCAGTCACTGGAGTTGCTTCTTTCAGTTCTTTATCTTGTGCCAGTGTATAGTTGACTCTAGCATGACGCTGTCGACTTGATGTTGAATCAAATCGTCCTTTGTGTCCAGGTGGTTGCATTGGATGACAACTTTTTGCACACCAGCCGACGGGAAAGATGTCACGAGAATCATAGCAACACCAATAATCAAATGCTCCACGCCATCCATCAAAAGTGACATGAATTTCATTATCTTTCACAGCAGCAACTGTTGCACAGCAAATTAATTGTGGATTCTTTTTATCTACGGCTTCAAGCTTATGGCCAACTTTAAATAAATTACGTTTGGGTGTTTTCGGTTCGGGTTGAAAGATTTCACCAGGTGCCATTTCAGCACCATAAAGTGTTTTCGATAGAAATGAAGGCCAACTTGAAGCATTCATTCTAAAACCTAACGGTGGTTGTAGCATTCCTTTATTCCTCTCGCAATCGCCAACCGGTTTAATTTCACTCGAATCAACAAGTCGCCAGAAGTCATTTTTATTATCACTGCCATCCAACCTTAGTCGCAGTCGAGATCCCAACACTCCAACGACTGTCGCAATACATATTGAATTAACATTACGTGGATCTACAGCTTCCAATTTCATTCCTATCTTAAAATCGTTTTTCGGTGGTGCAAAGGCTTGCTTGAAGCATTCTGATGGTGCAGGTACTGATCCAGTTTCCTAAAATTGTAAAAATGAGGAGCATTAACATTAGAAATTAGGATAATGCAGCACTAAATTACCTTTAAATATTCACTCCAGTCAAATACGTGAAACGCCTCATATTGAAACATTGGACTAATTTTTGTTACTGCATAATGTTCCTTTATCGTGTTATTATTGTTATTGTTTGTCTCAACAGAACTCCCTTTCTGTTGCTTACTATTGTTATTCTCAAGATTATTATTGTTATTGTTTAGTAATTTATTTTGTGATGTCGAAGGTGCTTGTGTCGGTGTCTGATTGCCAGATGTAATACCCTTCTTTTTGTTGCTTTTATTAAGACAATATGTTGAGCAAAAGTCGCGATTTGGTGCATTTCCTCTTATCGCATTATCACATTCTTTGCATGCTCCCTTACTGTATGCCTTTCGAAATTCTGCAATGCATGTCTCACTACAAAATTCCTTCTTTCCATTTTGTGTCGGCAGGACATATTTAAGAGGAGTTTTTGTCTCCGCACACCAAGTGCATCTATTTGGATTCTGTTGTTGTTGCTGCTGCTGCTGGGATGTTGCATTCTGTTGCTTTATGGGTGAGTGACTTTTTTTGCCACTATTTCGATTTTTTCCATTCATCAAACTATTTATGCTTCCATTTTTACTATCATCACTTGTACTGCTACTACTTGTCGTTTCAGGCTCCGTTGAGGACATTATCGCTCATGAAATTTATTTTATTGAGTCATCAATTGATGAAATTTTTTTCGCGGGGCAGAATGAATTTTTCATAAAAAAGTCACTTAAAGTCCTCTCTTAAATCTTTTGCACATCCACAAGTGATGAATTTTCACTTTAAGCGTCACCAAAAATTTTTTCAGCTCCCAAAATTTCCAAGAAAATGGAAAAATTAATTTTTTTATGTGAGAGTTTTTCAAAATTACGCTTTTTTCGAATCGGTTCGTACGGTTTAATGGCAGAAACGTTTACGTAAAAAAAGTACGCACTGCATTGCATACAATCCGTGTAAATTTCTCTCAGCATAGTCACGTAATTTTTGCGTACGTAATTTTCGAATCGGTTCATTGTTTTGAAAACAATTGGAAGTGAAATTTTTGTAAATAAAGAAGATTTTTAATTAAATTATGTAAATAGTGACTTAATAAGCACAACTAGCTATGGAATTCCATATAATAATACAAATTACACCTGAAAACATTGAAAATAAAGAATATATGTGCAATGAAATGAATTGCAAGAAGATTTTCAATAATGAACAGAATCTCAAGAAGCACATCAACTTACACTACAACGAGATTGGAAAGTCATCGAGAATTGTCTATCAATACAGTTGTCCAATCAATTCGTGTCGTCGATTTGTTGCAAATGAATATTTTTCCTCTCGAAAGCACTTGATTCAGCATTTCTATAAAGTCCACAACAGTGAGAAATTTAGCTGTACAAATGTAAACTGTGATAAAAGATTTTCTACGGAAATTTTGAGGAATATGCATTTAAAAAATTGTGGAAAGACATTTGAATGTAATTTTTGTAAGTCAACATACAGTTCTGCTGAGGCTTTGCTGACTCATCGGAGAAGAAAGAATCATTTGGAAAATAAAAAGAAGAAATCTGAAGAAACTCCAGCTAAGAAAAGTGTGTCCACAGCTACATCAACAAGTGCTTCACAAACATCACCCACCAAAGAAACTAGTCAGACGAAAGTCGTCACATCTGAATCAAAATCAACATTAACTGACAATATTTACACAAATCAGCCAGCAACTTCCTCTTCATCATCAACAAAGTTGATCAAAAATTCATCAACATCTACTGATGATTTTATGAAAGAAGACAATTCCAACAGTCTTTCATCCACTTCTAGTCAAAATAAGACAACAAATGTCAACTGGATGTCCACTGGAGGATTTGAGGAAGATTCTGTGACTTTATTTGATAATGATATAAAAATGGAATTTTATTCTGCTGAAACACAGACAGATTTTAGTGAAAATTTGTTCAATAACAACTATACGCAGACAACATTTGCTGATTTTTATGATTTTGAGAAGTTTGACAGTCAAACGCAGACCAATTGGGATGAATTTAATCAAGGTTTTTGACAAAAGAAGTTTTAATAAGTGTTTTGTTTAAGAGGGAAGAAATGAGGATTATAGTAGCAAAAGGAACAAAGATATGAACAAAAGATGTGAATCTCACTGTAAATAACTATAGTAAAAATATCTGAATGTCTACAAACTTTAAATTATTACAAATTATCATCAAGAACTTAATATTTATTCAAATTGATGCGTTTAAAATATCAAAAAATTGTAAATTGTAAAGCAAAGAAGCTTTTTGGTTAATAATCAATGGTTGATAAACTGGTAACAAATGATTAAATTAAAAATGTAAAAATACAAGAGGAAACAACCAGAAATTCTGAGCTGAGTAGTTTTCCTCCTCTCATCAAATTTTCTTCAAACAAACAAAAGAATCTTCACTGCCATTTTTTAAAGTCTCAAATTGTGTGTAAAAAATTGTTATTTAATAGCCTTTAAGCATAAAAAAATCAAAATAAAAATAATTAAGCTTGGCTAAACGTTATAAAAGATCTTTTTGTGATACAGCCAGTGTGAGATTAAGATCCAAATAATTACAGTATAAAGGTTTTCCAAAAGAAGTACAAAATGCGTGTTCATAACATCCAGAGACCAATGGAATGGCCACATGCTGTGGAAGACTGAATGACCCACGTACAAAACAATTGCATTCATTCCTGGATACAAGAAAATTGTCCAAAAATCATCGCCGATATTTTTAACATCGACAAGATAGTAAATTAAACTGAGAAGCAGGAAAGCTAGTGAAGCTGTGACAGTCACAAAAGATAATGACCACAAGTTCTTATTGATTGGTATGAAACCATCATTCACTGAGAATAAAGTCAATACACAGCTTAGTGCTAATAATCCTAATCCCCATAAAATCCAACGTCTCAGTCTTTCTTTAGCTGTTGCATAAACAATCAAAGTCATTCCACATTGAACCCCCAAAAAGACTTGTACACAAGTCATAATACATCCAAAAAGTCCTTCAGGATCAAATGGAAGAGCATCGTAAACGGAACGAATTTTAGCACGTTGATACAAGTGACTTGAACCCAAAATTGTTCTGTCAATATATCCAGCAATTCCTCCAGTGCAATTCTTATGACTCATATATTCATGGATGCCACCAGGGCCAAGATATCCACGATCACAGTTCGGTGCATTAACTCCAAAGATGAAGATCAAGTAGACAGCAATAAGAGACAAGATTACAAGCCATTGTCTCCAAATCATTCGAACATCGTAGAATAATTGTTGAATTCTTGTCTCTGCGTTGACGGAATTGTTCATAAATGCTAGATGTATCAGACTGACGACGAGGTAAGCAACACCGAACCTCTGAAGAACTCCAAAAATACGAATGTTTTGGAACGTTGCACCCCAAAGAGTATTCAGGCATAAACCCAAGAAGAATAGAGTTATTGACCGCTACAAGGATAATATCATGTTAATAATATAGTCAGTCATTGATTAATTGCTGATCATACCTTAAATATTTTCCTTACGATGCTGTTTATGGGAATCTGACGATTAACTTGTGATTTAATACTCAATGGAATGCATACACCCATAATAAATAGAAACCATGGGAATACTAAGTCAGCGAAATGTAATCCATTCCATACTGCATGCTCAATCCACCAATAGTGACCACCGCCGCTATTAACAAAAATCATCAACACAATTGCCACACCACGAAAAATGTCCAAACTTCTTAGCCTTTTCTTAACTTTTGATGCATCAAGTTCATTATCAGATGATGACTCTTGGATCGGATTTTCTGTTGCCTCTTGTGCATTGCGTGGTCGTGATATGTAGACGATGTTGATGACCTTGCATATCCAGTAGAAACAGATGAGAAAGATCGATATGAAGAGAATTGCTGGAAATAATTTATTGGTCATAAAATCAATTCAGTTGTAAATTAAGGTTTTCAAGTTAATATTCTTACAACTTAAAGTTTCCACCGGTTGCTTAGCCGTCTCAAGCATCGCAGGTCCAGTCTTTTTAATCAATAAATCATAGACACCAAATTCCCCAAAATCAGGCTGACCACTCCAAAATAAGTCATCATTAACAATCTTTGGATCAACGTACTGTCCATGATCTTTCCAAAACAACCGCAACTCGAAACCTTTATTGGTATTTAATTTCACTAATGTATCATTTTCCGGTCTGATTGCTTTAATAAAACGGAATGGGCATTTTATGCATTCCTCAGACAGAGAGTAAAGAAAATATTTCTGCGACTGATGATTACTGATATTCAAATATGCTTGATCAACTTTAAGTTGAGTAAGGTCCAGGCCTCGAAATTTATTATCAGTCCATTCAATCCACGACATTGCAAAACTATTTTCACATCAATTTCTTTCTCTTTTTTTCTCACTTAAATGTCAATGAGATTTATTATGAGTCAGATAAGACAGAGATGAGCGAGATTGATATAGTTTCACAATTTATTAGCCCTGACCGCTATTTTCTATTTGCTTTACTATTCCTTATCTGCAATGCACTTGATCACTTTATTGTAATTCAATATTTTTTTCACTGCTAAACTTTCTAGTCTTACAACAAAGGAGATTCGACGTGAAATGTCACAAAAAAAATAATTTAGATTTTTTCATTGTTTCTTACTGTGTTTTCTCTCGTATTTCTGCTATTGAAGTGAAAATTAAAACTGTTGTAACGTTCATAATTGGAAAGAGATGGGAGATTTGAAATGTGGAAGGTAAGCATGGCTGAAAACTGACTTTTTAAGTTTTCTTATCTTTAGTGTTGAAATTGGGGGTCAGGGATGTCGAAGATGTAGATGAGGGGTGTCAAAGGTGTCAGAGATGCCATCAAAGGAACTTAACTTGATCCACCAAGCTCCAAAACAATCAGATGCATAAGAAACCCAATAACAACTCCCATCCTGAATCTCCCAACAGCTACCAAAATTAAATAATATTGTTATTCATATTCTCAAACATTATTTTCCTCAATCTTAAAAAAAATATTTTTGTTATTCCAATTATAGTCATGCATCATCGTGTGTATTTTGTATGAGTCGCGCTATGCAAAAAATTCTGAATTTCACAACAGCATGTGAACTTTTCTTGGAAAATGCCCAATGTTTTTGTTTTGTTATCCTTTGGAATGCTTTCCGTTCCAGTGAAACATTGGAAATAAAATTTGAATTTTTTGAATTTTTCAAATACGTTAGGGATTGTGAAAGGATGTGAAGAGCTTTAATTTGGAATTTCAACTAGAATTCTAGAAAATTGTTGAGAAGATTGTTGTATAATATCCCAAAAAGATCGAAATTTGCCAAAAATATTACCAAAAGATGCCAAAAATTCAACATCAAGTGAACTCGACATCCTCGCGATCAGATTAAGGACGCAATAAGCATTCGTCTCACGAAGTCAATTTTCTTTTTTCGTCTGTCGTCAAATTCGTTGCGCAACGAATGAAAATGAATCAAGTGCTATATAAAAAAGGATGTTGAACATAAGCGAGCACCATTCTTCAATGTACATCGTGGTGATAACACTTGTTGAATATAAGCGGTGAATTAGAAGTGAAAGTTTAAGAATTCAAAAAGATTTAATTAAAACTAGTGTCAAAAAAAACAATTCAAGTGATTTTTAATTTTTCCGTTCCTTTATCCTGTTTATTTTAAATTTACTGAATATAAATAATCAGGAACAGATAAGCAAAACTACAAGAAAAATAAAGTTAAGAAAGTTGGACATCAAAATCTAATTTTTTTGAATAAAAAGGCACAAAAAGAAAAATAAAAAAAGTTTTTTCCTTCCTTTTTTTTTGATTGAGTAAAGCGCCTCGCGTGTGTGTGAACTTCAAGAAAATAAAATATATAAAAAAAAGTTAATAAATCAAATTTATTTTGTGAAGTTGCGAGTATAAAGTTGGCCTGACGATCTAATCATTCGAAAGATACAGAAGTGAAATAAAAAAAGGAACTCATGTAAGTCAATAATAAAAAATAATTTTTTTTGTTCCTATTTGCATTTCTATTTCGTACCGCATTACTTATTCAGACATCATTTAATTTGGAGCAATTTAAAAAGTTTTTTTTTGTATGTTTAAAAAGCAAATTGGATCTTTTCTCTTTTTTTTTGGATTGTTCAGTTGTTTGACTTTATTCTTGTGGTACATCCGGATTTAATTTCTTTATTCCTGTGTTATGTTTCCTAACATTTTTGGATATAAACGAAGTCATGAGCAAATATCTAAAAAATATCAAATTTTAATTCAACTTTTAAAAAATCTGAAAAAATTCACAGTTTCTAGAAAATTTCATCATCCTCATCTCATAAATTCACAGTCTCAATGGTAATTAGCATCAAAAACTTTCAAAATCCTCGCTTCAAATTCCCATTCATTAAAATAATTAAATTCTTGATATACATCCTTCCTTTCTATCATTCATACCTGTACAGCTCGAATTAAACTCTTCAAACTCAATTATTCTATAATCATTTCATGAATTCTGCAATTTCAAATACAATAACTTCCTTTTTTTCCACATTCATTAACTTTCATACACGGAAAAGTTATCGAAATACAAAATGAAAGAAAACTATTAGCACGCGGATTTAATTGTTTTAATCCTTTTCTATTATAAATTTGTAATTTTTCTTTTTACAATTCAATGAATCTAGATTTAATTAAAAAGTTGTGCGGACCTAGTTGTTTGCATTAACAGCATCATTAAAGTTTGAATGACACTTTTTTTTTGTTCTTGTTTGATTGAAAGTTGGAATTTGTTTTAATTGAAATGGCTGTAGCGATTATGGCGTAATGTTTTGGAAGTACTAAGGAAGTATCGTGAGTGCGGATAGACATTTAATTGAATTATCGGATTTTAATAGATTAATTTGATAGCTTCAAGAGTTTTCTTGAGTCAGATTCGCGCCAAAAATTCAAAACTTTATCAAAAAGTCAAGAATTAAGAACTCAAGAAATTTGTTCTTAAATATTCAAAGTTTCTTCATCTTTTCATTCCTTCAATCCAAACACTTCATTTCAAGACAAACTGATCAAACTTCAACCATCCAATCCTTCAAATCACACAGTTAAAAATATAAAACTCAATTTAGAGCAATGAAAGAGAAAAGACAAGAAATCCTTATGCTGTTGCTGCTTTTTCCGACGGGTTTAATTGAAAGATGATGAAAAGTGTATCTTATCGTCCAAGTGGGTTGACAAGAATAGTTTTTCTCTCTAATGGCTTGTAATAAATGACTTCATGTTTATGTCAACACAATTTTTTTGTTGTTCATTTAAACAATTTTTGGCTTTAAGGGATTTTGAGATTTTTATGAACAATTCGTGTTGAACATTCTTTGATGCTCTCCTTGCCTAATTAATTTGTCTGTAGGCTAGTTTTATGGAATAACATTGGATGATTATTGAGAATATTAACATTATTTTGATGTTTTGTGAATTTTACTCAACATTTCAACTGAATTATTGATAAAATTGAGCATCGTTGTGCATTTTTTAAGACTGAATATCAGTTAAGTTGAACTTGGTTAAAGCTGAGCATCAGCATGGCTGAGCGTTCGTAAGGCTGAGCGTTAATTAATCTAGATATATCGTCGACCCTCATTGTTAAAGCTGATGACATAACTAGTTAAACATTTGTTGAAGTTAAGCGTCATTCAGGCTGTGTCAGCGTTAAAGCTGAACGTCAGTTAAGCTTCTATTTTTATTATCTTTACTTGAAGTTGAATTACTTAAAAAAAGTAACAAAACTCGAGGAATCTTCACCCAAGCTTAGCCAAAGCTTATGAAACTTTCACAAAATTGACCATCAGCACAACTTTATCCCCCCAAAAGTCCCATTATCATCTCTAAAACCACCAAAAAAGTAACACAACAAACAAAATTATGAAAACTTAAAATGAAACAAAACTTTTCTCATCAACATTAATAAGCCTCAGTCATTAAAATGAGCATTAAAAAAGGACGTTATGAAACTTTTCATTGAATGAAAAAAAAATATAAAAAAAATTGCAATTTGTGGTCATGACAGATTTTATGTTAGTAAGGATTAAGCAAGAGCCTCACAATTTCCACAAAAGATCGCATTTCATTTCATGAGATTTCAAAGAAAATTAATTCCTCCAGAAATTTTTTGTGCATGTATTTGCTCATAATTACAGTTATGAGATAAAAACATTATTTTCTTTGTGATTTTCATGTTTGATTCTGTGAGTAGGCGGATGTGCCTTTATGCTTTGTTGCTTTGTCAGGTCAGTTGTCTTGGTCATTCATTGTTCAACGGTAATTAGTTTTTGTCCAGTTCTGTTCGAATGTTTTTCACATTTTAATTACCATTTCATGATGTGTCCTAATTAGAATAAGGGGCCGTTCACTTATGACGTTAAACATTTAGGGGGAGAGGGGGTCTAGGATTTTGTGACAGTTCAAACAATGGAAATTTTTTTCTATAGAATTTTTGTGACAGAGGGGGTGAGGAGGGTCTAAAAATCAAGTTTTTTGATGAACGTCATAAGTGAACGACCGCTAAGTATAATTGTGTATTCAGGAGATCGTTTGACAATCTGTGTCAACACATTAACAACTATTTGACTAAATGCACTGCTTTTAATAGTTTAGAGACTTTGCAGCATGGCACAGAACTAAAACAGCTCAGAAAATGTGGACATATGCAGCATTTGACATTATAAAAGTTCCAGAGAAAATTAATTTCAAAATTTCAAATTTTTCATTAAAAACCTTTTTGATTTTTCTTCGGAAAATCCTTAGTAAAATCCACACAATGCCAGTTCCTCACTATCCCAATGAGAAATCAATCGTTGCCTTTTAAAAGCATTTCTGGCCATAAATCTCAATTTTCCTCAGAATTCTTTCTTAAAAAATTGAAAAAAAAAATCCACAAATTTTAATTTTCCAGCAAATAAATGTCAGGTGATATTTAATATCATGATTGAATGTTCCCCAAGCTTATATTTAATCCACAATATTTTTTTTTCGTGCGTAGCTTCTAAGTTTGGTTCATAAATCATTTATCAACGAATTTTTATATTCGAGAAAGGAATTTTATGCTGTATCGCGTATCACGTTTGCTTCATAGCTGTGAATATTTTTGTGTACGTAAAAATTTTTCATGTGTGAAGTCGAAAATATTTGAATTTTTTTTTTCTGTGCTTCGTGAGTTTGTGTGAATTTGCAATTTATGAATTATACAGCTTTGCTGGCTCATCTTGACTGCTAATAATAAAAGTCCTTCAATTTTAGGACACGAAATAAAAGTGTGTTGACATAATTTTGATGAATTTAGAGCTTAATTAAGTTTGTAATGATGTTAGTCCATCGTTTAATGGAACGAAGCTAGCATTTATCCAATTTTGGATCAAGCCTGATCTTATGAATTCATTTCAAGATTTCGAAGTAAATTCCTGAGCTGGATCATCTACATAACCTTTCTTCTGGTGTCCATCCGAGTTTCTAGATATGTTCAAGTAGCTAGAACCTAGTTATAGGGTATTGATGTATATTAAAAACAACTGTTAGTGCAAATCCAGATTATGGAGCCCGTCCTAAACCCTCAAAACTTCCAAAAACTCAGCAAATAACGTTTTGACATCTCAAAAATTTTCATTAATTTAAAAACGACTCAAAACTCAATATAATTAATAACAAAATGTTAATTTTATCATCGCACGCAAAATGTGGTAATAGAAAATAAGCAACTCAAATTGAACAATTTTCATTCAATTCCGCTATGTCTCATCAAATATTGTAAGCTTTTGAACTTTGGTGGCTTCACATATTGAGAATCTGAGGTTGTAAACAGAGCATATGCGAAGTTATATCCTTAATTAACGATGACATTTAATGAATAATTGGAATTGTCTTTTTGGAATTCAATTAAAATTTTGTGGAACTTGAAATTCGGTGAATTTTAAGTTAAGTTTATGTTTGCAAAGGTCGTGGCATTTTTGAGGAACTTATGATGGGTTCATGTTTGGTTAAAGTTTGAAACAATATGTACATAAATTTTGAGACTTTTAAGTTCAAATTGTAAAATTTGACGTCACTTTTTCCTGACTTTTCTTTGATTTCTTGATATTCTAAGGTTTGAATGGAGTTAAAGGTGATTTATTTGAATCAGATTAGTCAGATTCTCGTCGAACTGGACTATAATATTAATGCAATGCTCCAAAGACATAGTCAGTTTATGGAATGGTCTAAAAAGATCCAGATTCTTTGAAATTTTTAATATTTAAGTGTTTTGATCTTAGTGACTGGTTATCAAAGCTACCCAGAATAACCTACTTAAAAGCCTAAATGCCTCATAAAGCCATATAAAAAAATCCCCAACCATAAACTCATTCTTAGCTTCGTTTTGCTTTAAAAAATCCTTCAAAAAATTCAAAATTATTTTACGACATCCAAAAGCTACCCCAATAAATTTAAAACAATATTACAAAAATTCTCAAGTCATAAAATCATCACATTTTCCACCCATAAAAATCACAGCAACAACCACAAGAATGAAAAGCTTCAAAAAAGCACACGCTTTATAATTTAATTGAAAAATTTGTTTATCCTTAAGAAGAATTTTAATGGCAATCAGGTGAAAATTGAATAAATATGAATAAAATAAAGAAATTTTCATCTATTATAATAAGATGAGCTTAATGTTATTAACTATATAGATTCACATCCGAAACGTAATATTGACAGAGTAAAAAACATTTTAAAACAATAAAAAAAGAGAGACTAGAAAAATTTCCATAATTAAGACGTAGCGTTCATGTCGTACATACATGAAGAAGAAAAAAAAATTTATGCCGGGAAGATGAGATGGGTGAATTTTAATTACAAGGAGGAAGGAAGTAAATTGATTGAGCACACAATCTATTGATTATTTACGTAAGTCATCTCATCAACAACATTAATTGATTTAAAAATATTCATAAAATTTATTTT